CTCTCCAGGATCCCTGCAGCTCTGCTCCCGTGGAGTTGTCCTGCTAAGCCGCAGGAACCCAGCGCTGCTCTGCAGAGAGGAGCACAACGCACGGCTGTCTCTGTGCCTGAGAAGAAGTTACAATTCCCAGTCTAAGGACTTAATCGGTGATACATAGCATGAAGCGGCAAGTTACCATAAATCCTACTGCCTCCAAGAGTCTTTTAGCTTTATGCTCTTTCTCTATCGTTCTATCTTCACATCTCCCAGACGGCGTGGACAGCTCATTCTGGTTGTCCTGTGCAGCTGATCTGGTCTCTGTCTGAAATCTGAGAAACTTTGGTCTTACTGGGCTGTAACTGGAATGCCTTTAGAAGGCACCACTTCAGGAGGAGACAGTTCCAGTCGAATTAACATCAATTTCAGCCAAATACTCATGTAATGTATTTCAGGTTTGTCCTAGTCAATAGCTACATGTTGAGAAAAATCATATTCTCATGAAATGTTGCAAAGGAGAACAGGGCTATGCTACAGTATTGAGAAGTAGCAGTGGTGAACATGTGCAAAGATAGTACTGTTTCATGTCAACGTTCATAGGACTGTCTTGCGCTGCTCTTATTACAAATGAGAGCGATAAGACCTCAAGAGCACGTTGCTATTCTTGGAAACAAAGATTTCTTCTCAGGAGGCTGTTTCCTGTCTTTGCAGCCAGGAAAAGAAAAACATTTGACAAGGCTTTTTGCAAATCGAGCTGGGAAAATTGAGGAAAAAATAATGTTATCTGATTTCCATCTCCAGTAGGCTTTAATCACTGGCTGTTATTTTAGGAATTGCTTGTAACAAAAATGGAGATGGAGTTTGAGTTGGAGTAGGAAGCACTACATTGCTCGGGCTGTGTTTATATTGACTGTCAGTATGAGCCAAGAGTAGCAGCTATAGAAGTCAAAGATAACTGCTTTTTCAGTGTGTTATATGATCTAGTTTGGAATGAAGCAGCCTTGTCATATATCTCTTTTTTGAAAATTCTTAAATAGAATGTTGTGACATCCTCCATATGCTATGCATATAAACTAAGATTATTTTTCTGACTATTTCTAATATAAACAGACTGTAGATACACAGATCTTAAGTTTAACCATACAATCAATTGCTATTCCTTAAGAAAAACAAGACTGTCTTGTTATAGCCTTTCTTAAAATGTTTCACATGGTCAGGTTTTGATACAGCATAGGCAGCCCTGTTACGCTGCTGGTCTGCACGTTTCCGGCGATTCTTTGATTTAAAACTGCTCAGGAATTCCTCGGAAAAATTATTGGACTGCACTGTCCTTCATAAGGTGCTTTTAACTGCATCTTGCCTTGCTCCTACTCCTTTCAAGAGGTCAGAAAGCAGGTAAGAGGCATCTTCTACCAAACCCGGTGTCTGCTCTGTGAGCTGTGTGGCTACGAAACCCTCTCCTGCATGCTGAGAAAGGTTTGCAGAAATACCCCACTGCTGCTCATTGGAGTAGCGCTGGCAGGGACAGGCGCTGTATCGTAGGTAGGTCGCTTGCTGCTCCCAGTGTTTCGTCAACATGGGTGAAATCTGAGCCCAACGAAAATCAATGAGAGTTTTGTCTTGGACTGCGCAGTGGCAGGATTTCTCCCCAGCTGTCAGGAACACAGTCAGCACAGTAATGAGGAGAGCACGCTGGCTGCTGTGACTTGGTTTCAAAAGGAAGAAAACTCACGCGTACAGTGTGTCTTCGCGTGGATTTCCTGCTCTTCCTAAAACTCTTCTTTCTTTCCTGTGGCTGAGTATTCCTTGAGCTGTGAAATTTTAGAATATAATGAATGCTTTTTATTAATGTTCTTCTAATCCACAGTCTTCCTATCAGCAACTTCATTCTGTGCTTAAAAAAGCTAGAAGACATTTGCTGTTTAAGAAGATTTTAAACTAAAGGAAATGAGTTTGCAGAAGTTGAAGATAGTACAGAGTTTGAGGAAACTGCAGACTTCCTGTATAACTTTGAGCAGATCACTTAACCACACTGTCTTGATTTTTCTCATCCATAAAATGGGGGCAGTGGAGAAATACAGGTAGCTGAAAGGTACCACTTAGTTACTTTATATAAAAATGAATTTTTGGAAGGCAGAAATCGTCCTTTGAGGGCAAAAGATTTGCAAGCAGAAGTATTCTCAATACATATTACATCTGTTATCATGTGTAGCCTTATCTCTCATAACAAGGATATACATATATATGTGTATATGTTATCCCATATGCATATATATGTATATATGTTATCCCATATACATATATGTATATGGGGTAACACAACAAGAATTAGGGGTTATAAATATGGTTAGAAAATGATTGAACTAAAAAAATGCAATATTGACAGTGAAACATCCAAAATATGATGCACCTGTATTTATCGAGCTGTCACTCTAACATTGGTTCCTCTGTTTCACGATTTAATAACCTCAGTAATGCCCAGTATACATCACAGTGCTCCATTTCTGTAAAAGAGCTTATAAAAAAATAAAGTACCAAAATCTGAACAAGATGCAGCCTTACTGCTAGGCTTCCTGCTTCTCTTGTATGTACTTCCAGCAGCTTAGAGAGTTTATTTTAGAGCGAAGGCAAATTTGGAAATAACAGGGATAGCTTGTGGAATATTAAAATCACGTTATTGATTAACTACAAAGTGGTTTAAAAATAGGAGCTCAGGGTAATCCTGTTATCTGATATACTTTTGATTCCAAGTTCATCCTTCAGCCCCTATATACAGTTGTGTTCTGTTAAATTAACCTGGCATCTTGTTTTCCCGAGGTCATTGACAGCGCTAGGTTTCATACAGGCCAGCTGCTCCCAAATCAAGTCCCTTCCTACACCCCAGCAAAGTCAGAGGCAGAGAAGAGGGAAATGCACAAGCGAAGGCTGGTGGAGGCAGGAAATGCAGTATGGAGGCAGCCAAGTAATTTTACTTGCAGCTTCACTATTAAAGATTTTCGTGTATTCCATGCTCGTTAGCAAAAAGTTGAAAAATGCAGTGTTCAGTTACAGTTGTTCCTTGGGACTGTTTGTGTTACTCCTTGGGACTGTTGCCCTAAACTCTAATTACAAAAGCAAGCTTGAAATGAGGAGTGTTTCCAAGCCCCCTGGCAAGGAAGATGCCTTATCTGTCACATGCAGAGTTGAAAGGAAACGGGAATCTACAAAAGGAACAGAAATCGACTGGGAGCCTTTCCCCACTGCCCCAGCAGTCACACAGCTATGTCTGGGGTTTTCACATCTTGTAATGTGGTGACTGAGGTTTTGGAGAAGCCTAGTGTGGTGAGCAGGGGTCTGAACTGCACAAGGAACGTCAGAGTTCATGGCAAAAGGTGTCTGTCCCCAGCCGCAGCAGTGCCAGGCTGTCACCGCGCTCCCGTCGATGGCCCGGCTGCTGCACGCTCTCCCTCCGGGGCAGGCGGGAGCAGAGCCAGAGCTGAGAGTGGCACGTACCCGGCATTAAAAACGTGACTGATATTGTGCCTCTCATCTCTGCTTCAAGAATTTTTGGGTCGTGATAAACACACTCCAGAACGCTGAAGCTGTGAGTTCCCCTGTGTTCAGCTACGGGTCAGCACCCTTGGTTAGCAGCGGGTGTTCGGGGCGGCGGGTGATAGCACCGCAGCCCTCGGGATAGCGTGGTGTTCTGTTCTCACAGACGAGTTGAAGGTTATTGTGGTGTTTAAGGCAATACAGGTCTACTGGGCATCAGGGATAGTTTTGGGGCTTTTTACTGGTTTGTCTGGTGGAGCCAGAAAGGCAGCTAGGAAGAAATGTCACTGTCACATTTGCTCTAGAAACCTGCCTCTGATGGGGGGAAAATACCAGTTGCTTTAGCAAAAGATTCAGGAAACCAAGTAGCTGCCAATTGTAAAGTGCTTGCAGGCACATTTTTCTAACTTTGGCAGCTTGTGGCAGGCTACTCTTCTGAAGTTGGAGCTTTTCTACCCTAACAAACAGTTATGTTGCTTAAGATATATCTGATGTCTGACTGTGCATGGGCCTGAGCATGTTGCTTAAGATACATCTGATGTCTGACTGTGCATGGGCCTGAGCTGCAGTGGGGTTATCTGGGAATATCAGACCTTTATTTTTAGTTTACTGCATGAAACTATACCTGCATTTGAGTACAACATCCTAGTCACCAGTAAATAACAGAGCAGAAAGGCATCTCTCCTCCTGCTTGTAGTTTGCTGTATTCTTTATTTTGCAAGATGGTTTGTCAGGAGAGCAACCTGTTCTCAGGGTCAGCTGGGGGCTGCGTTAACATTCCGATTTAGAGCTGGGTCATCGACTTATGCAATGATCTTGAACGATTTGCTTATCCTCAGGAAAAGTGAGGCATATGGGAGACAGAGGGGAATATCTAAAATGTGTTAGTCTGATGAAGAGCATTGTATAAGTGTTCGAATGGTTATTTAAACCAACTGCAACGCTTGAGTCTTGCTCCAAAAGGTGTATCAGGAGAAGTTCCTTGTCATTTAGTATGTAGCTGATACCTCATATTTAAAATCTCCGTAGGGCTTTAGTGTGTGCACACACACAGGCACCCAGAGTATGGGAGAGGAGGGTTTCTGGAGGGACCCACAGAATTGAATCCCTCTTGAGAAATGAGCAGCTGGCCTCGTGCACGCAGCCAGTGAGTAGGAAGAAGAGGGTTTTATGTTGAGTCTGAATGAAAATCAGGACAAACATCAGTTGTTAGAATGTGCCAATCAAGGGCATCTTGGTGAATTCCCTGTAGAGAGAAATTTTAATTTACTTCTAGTGTTCAGTCAGTAACCAAAGAAATAGTCTTCAGATAAAAGTGCTTCAGATTTCATAGTATGGGAAACCAATAATTACGAGATACAGTGAACAATACAAGGTAGAATTGCTAAAGGGGTTAATTAGCCTTAGTCTAACCACTATAATTGATGCAAATATACATCTGCAGCCTGCTGAGACACTAGATAGTCATCATCCACCTGCTCAATCTACCAGCATTGCAGAGCACAGCTGTCAGAGTAATTTCTGCTTTTTTCTAGAGCTCCTTGAGAATAATTGGCTGTTCGTTCTTTGGTTGTTCAAAATGTTTTCTTTTTCTCTTTTTCTAAACAGCACTTCCACGATGGCAGAAAGGCACAACAACATATTGAAACTTGCTGGAAACAACTTGAAGCAGTAAGTGGAAACTTCCTCAGATAGATGTGACATTTAAGACATTTTTATACTGTTCTCATGTAGATAGTTCCAAACATCATATCTGGAATAAGAAGGGTGTATGGATAAAAGCTGCAGAAATGTGATTTTTAGAACTCTGCTGTCTTAAGTACACTGATAGGCAGAAAAAAAACCTCTTTAAATAGTACATTTGACTTTCTGTGGGATCTGTGTCTATCATGAGTAGCATTTAATTTGATATGACTTGAAAAGTGTGCTAAGCGTTGCTGGAACTGCAGAGTCCCTAAGGGTCCTATTCTGATACTCCTCTGTAAGCGGAATAGCTTCATACTGTGTGAATAAATTGAATAGGACCATCTCCTGAGAAAGGAGCTGTTTCTCAAAAGTAAATACATTGGAATTGTCATTCATGTGATGAATGTAAAATGAGACTGTAAGTAGAGGAGAGGATAAATAAATCAGTAATCAAAAGTCCTACTTGGAAATGTAATAACTCTCTTGTTTTGTGTTATAAAAATGAGGGAGGTAAGTGTTGGAAGGGAGTGATTTGGTCTACGAGAGCAGAAGAGATGCTAACAGGGAAAAATACTGAAATACTAGTGATGTTGGTAGAATCGAGCTTGAAGAATGGAACAGAAGGTATGTTTCTTGTAACTTTGTTTTTTGAAGTTCTTTAATATGGAAATACGTTCCACTGTAAACAAGCGAAAAACTCTGGTTGTTACAGCAGATCAGTTTAGGGGCAGGTATTGATTTTAGGTAGAATTTGATATCATGTTTCTTTCCCATAATGAAGGCCTCTATTTTTCCTTTTCAGAGTAAAAGGCGATTCGAACGTGACTGCAAAGAAGCTGACCGAGCACAGCAGTATTTTGAGAAAATGGATGCTGACATCAATGTTACAAAAGCAGATGTTGAAAAGGTAAAGCCAGAGGGTGGAGAGGCTGTTTGTAAACATGGATGTGACAGGTTTAGTGCCTCAATCCCACTGGCAGGATAAACCCTCTGAAGCTTAATGCCTCACTTAAGTCAGTCCATAGGTTAATTAAAAATAGGGAGATCTCTGCAGAGACCTATATTTACGTAAAAACTCTAAACAGATACAGTCAGTTTTCTTCAGTAAGTGATATCTGAGTTAAATATGAGTTAAATGAGCTTGTGCAAAAGTTTTAACTAACACCCCCGATTCTGTGACAGTCAAGCTTGTGAGGGCTCCCTGGGGGGTGCTTGCAGTTCCCACACATTGTTGGTCGCTGTGTGATGCAGGTAGAACTAAGCTGCCTGCCTTGTGAGCACCACTTTGAAGATGTCCTGATGTCACTGGCTGCAATGAAGTGTTACAAGTGTTGCTGTTCATGGTCCTAGGTTTACAGCAGAACAGCTTTCCATGTTTTGCAGAATCCTGGAATCCATGCATGTCACAGATGGCACATAACTTTTATTTTGATTTCTCAGTTGCTGTCTGGTTGCAGAGTAATTTGTGGCTTTTATACATTGATCCCCATTCAGTGAAGCTTTTGAACTGGTGCTTGATCTTAAACAAATTTCTCTTTTAACATAGTCTGTCTTGAAATATTTTCTCTGTAGTTTGTTTCAAAATTGAATGTGCAGAGGGATGGTTAAAATTTAAATGTCCAAGACCAATGATATACTTGTAACTTAAGGAAGCAATGGAGAGGGAGAAAGCGTGTTTAAATTGCTTCTCTTTTTGGTGTTGCACATCCTCTCAGAAGATGAAGGGATGTGGATCAGAACACCACATTACAACGTGTAAGGGCAGTGTGTCTTCCCTGAGTTTGATCCATGTAGGTAGGAAATAGCCAGAACACTTGAAAAGGTTTGTTTCTTTAACAAAAAGGGCAACAAAAAGAAGGAAAAGGAACAAAAAAAAAAGCTGAAGCTTAAAATATACTAAACATATTGTTGCAGGAACGGGAAGGGAAACTGAATTATAGGTAAGGAATCTTTTCTAGTCCAATATAGCCCTTGTGAAACGTAGCTTTTGCTCCTCAAGAGGTCTGCTGCATTCTATTTTCAGGTATTTCAATCCTAGGAAGCTATCAAATACAATTTTTTCTTTTCATCTATAAGATCTTACAATTTTTTTGGTATGCTGAGCATCATGGAGGTTGCATAGCAGAGAGCATCAAGGATGCTCTTAGGAATGAGAATAGTAAATTAAGAAGAAGCTCAGAAAATTTCCCCAAAGTGATGTTGCAGATCAAAGGAAAAAATACCTCTGTGGTCTTGTAATTTGCTTGGCTATTAGTTGTAAATTCACCATGCAGATCTGATCCTTTGTTGCCTTCTGGATTTTCCAGGACACTTTACAGATGAATGTGTGTACAGGATTGTCAGAGACATAACACCACATGTGGGTTTTTCTGGCAGAGGAGGATCATCTCTGCTTTATCTGTATAAAGTGATTTTAGAATAAATTATTTTTTCATAGATAAATTAGGACTTGCCCTAGATTTTTTGCAAAGCTGAGGCCATGTTAAGGGGATACAGAGACATGACTTCCTATTGGAAATAGAGGGCTGGAACTCCTTACTTCTACATCCCTCTCTAAGGCTGGCGGTCAGGGTGAAAGGCTTTGCATTGGCAGTACATCCAGGCTGATTGCATTAGGGCAATTCCAGGAAGAAATCCCCACCCTGGAGGTCTTTCCCTGTAAAGTGAAGCAGAGGGACTTCCCTTCAAAATTTCTCTGGCTTTTTAATGTATGTATTTGTAAATTATTTATTGCAAAACAAGGCTTAGAAAAAAACTTGCAGTTATGTGTGTTGACTAATCTCTGGAGAAGGCATTAGTCAACTTTCTACTCAGTCAGCGGGGTAGATGGCGAAGGAAAAGGTTATCAAAACGAGTGGAATGTGAAATAATATTACCGAACAGAGAGAACAGTGTTTTCCAAGTGCATGTGTTAAACTGGGTTCATCCATGTCAGGCTGTGAATAATGCCCTTTCTTTGCCTCCCTCTGCCCGTGTGACTGGGACTGCTCTTACATAACTCCCGAGTGCAAAATAGGAGATTGTTTAACCAGCGCTGCTGGTGGGGGCTGCTCTCGCCGACTCGCTCCAGGGAGACGCAGAAACGGCTCAGCTTCAAATGAAGCAATATGATGATTTTTTTTCCCCTCCTCCTTCTACTGCAGTGGTTCTGATTTCTCTTGCCCCTTATGGCTTGGCTGCTGCACTCTTGTTCCCAAAAGCTCCCAAAAAAAATCTGTCTGGCCAGGAAAGCAGACGATCTGGCCGTGTTCGGAGCCAATGCTACTCTGGCGGAACAAGGTGCTCTTCAAGCAGTGGCATCGCTTGCACTTATTTCTTCGGCTTGAGATTGACACCTTGGCTACTTTAGCCTGTACCTGCAGATATGAGCAGACACTAGAGCTATTTTTTGCATCATGCGTTGTAGAGTAATGGAATTAAAATTCTGCAGTGATCACAATGACACATGCAATCAAAAGAATATAGAGCTGCAGCTCCCTAGTGCACCTAAAGCTAAGCTGTATGAGGTTCTGAAATGCTCGCATCTCTGTCTTTCTGTCGTTCTACCCTTTGACAACTGCAGTGGGAAATTCTGTGACACAGCTGCCAGCTACTAGCACTTAACATGGCCTTGCCTAAGGGATAACATTTGGTATTACAGCGTGCTAGGATTAAGTAACGAGAATAGTAGCAGAGAAGCAAATTCAGAGTTACTTTCCTCCTTATTTCTACAGGACTGTTTCGCAAAGGACCTGAGGTGTGTGCTTAGAGGCAGGGCTGGATGTGTGGGTATCTCACACCTGGGTCCAAACTCCTTCTGTAGGACCAGCTCAGGTTCGATATGCAGAGGGCACGTGCCTTCTGTGCCCAGCACGGGCTCAATCATCTTTGCAGCCGGCCAGTCTGGTAGTTGAGCTCAGAGAGAGCAGGGTGTCTAGCTTTCTTTCCTCTTGTCTCCTTTGTTGGTGGTAGGAACATGGAGCAAAAGGCTGTGGTCACCCTCTGCAATGGTCACAGTCTGTATGCAGAAGTAAAGGAGAATGGATTAGGGCCCTGAGCTCCCTTCCTGTGTTTGCACTGAGCCTCTAAATTACAAGCAGCAAACATTTGCAGAGAGAATGTTTACGTGTCAACGCAAAGTGCAGGTTGGCACAAAGGTTTTGCCAGTTCGGTTTAGGAAAGTCGCGGTATGAAGCTGTGTTGCAGAAAGCTGTACAGTGGAAATATCCCTATAAACTGACAACAGGCTGCTGCCGGGAAGCCTTGTTGCTATCACTGTAAGCTTTAGCTTCATTTGGATCACAGTGGGATGTGTGCTTTAAAACAGTTCTCTTTCGAAAACCGCAGCAAAGCTGCTTCAGTTTTTTGACCATTTGGGGAAATGGTGTCTGTCCCCAGCGCAGAGCCGGTGTACATATAAGGAAGCACTCTATTGTTTGTTCTTTCTCTTTAGAGCTGCAATCACTAAAAAACTGACATCTTTATGGGATAATGTGGTACCCGGTGGTGCCTTTGCGGACTTTTTGCAATGAGGAAAAAAAAAAAATCAGCTGTCTTTTCTTAAGGTTCCTTTTCAAAATAGACTTTTCAGAATCCGTTTTTACAGAGGAGGTGGCTGAGGCTGACCGTGGGAAGGGGTGAATGCTTTGCCTCTGGATTTGCACAGCAGCTGAGGAGGAGGGCAGCAGTTGGAGGTTTTCTGTGTCAGGCAGGATCTGTCCCTTTGCTGAAGAGTAGCACAGTCCTATGTTGGTGACCTAGGTAATAATTTTGCCAGAAAACAGCTTCAGCTTTGAGCAGTAGAAAATGAGCTGTGCAGGAGTTCCCAGAACTGCTGTCCTGAAGCTGGGGCTCGTTACCTCATTCTGATTTTGGTTCCTGTTCTGTTAGGAGGGTTTCACCTTGAGTAATTTGAGTTTAATGTAAATGTTTTGTGGATTAGAAAGTAGTGAAAGACACAAAGTGTAAATTTGACCTTTACTCTCACAAATGAAGAAGCCTCTGACACTGCTCAAAACATCGGGTGGGTATTTTGTTTTAGTCTTTAGTAAGTCTTCAAGCTCCTCCTTTCTAGGTGCAAGTTGTATTAAGATTTTATTTGTATCTTAACGACTTTCAGATATCTTTTCTGGGGCAGTTGGATTTTCCTATTGAATTTGCTTTCTTACATGCTTACAGCTGCTTGAGCTTGTTGCAGTCAGCTCTGTTTGAAATGAAAATTATTCCAAAATTATCCAAACTTATATACAAAATTATTATTACAAAATTATAATTCCATTCCTTTCCCTCTTCTCTGCCTAATCCTATATCATAACTAAAAACAAAAGAAATGAAGAAGCTGATGGTTCTGTTTCTGTGCTGAGATATTTAGGAGTTTTAGCTGTACTGGCCTTTTGTTTGTTTGTTTGTTATTGTTTTGGTTTTGAAGTGGAGATGAGGGAAACGAGTAATCCCAAGTTTACTGAAATCTCTAGGAGCTCTCCCCACTGCTCTGTGTCTTTCAGATCAGGTTATATCTGCTGTATCCAAGATTTTTGGAGTCCCAGAATAGCTTAGGATTTGCATAAAGGCATAAAACCTCATAATACCCTATCACCATGACATTAATTTTCTAGTCTATAAATATAACTACAAAGAGACACTGATGTTTCACGCTTGAAGTTTTTCTCTCTTCTTATACGCCACGTTCCCTGGGTGCTCACCATCTATTTTAATGCCATGTGGGGTCTGTATTTCCCCCTGTACCCACAGGAGACACCTCCACTTACACCTTGGGTAGTCATGCGCTGAGTCTCTGGCCAAGTCTTTCTGAACATAGATGTAGAAATACTGCTGCTTGGAAGGATTCTTGGAGAAAGCTGATCTTCCTGCCTGTGCAGGCGCAGTTACGCTGTCAGAGGTGAACTGCTTTTCCAGCCTGCAGGCTGC